GGGACAGGGGGACCAGCCCCACCCCCAAAAAGGTTGCCAGCCTCTGCTATATACAGTTAGCTCTCCACATCTGTGGCTTTGACTTTTGCAGATATGTTCTCTGTAGGAATCTCTAGATCCTCCATTTGGTGGTCAACTTCCACCAAACGTCATGAAGAACCTAGAGATTCCTAGAGAGAACACTTGCCTAGGCTTTTGTAGGTCTTCCAGTGCATTTCTATAGTCAACATCTGGCTGAAGTTAACCATAGAATTGCCCAGGAGGGCCTAGAGATTCCTAGAGATCTATTCTCTCAGGTAAAAAAAAAGGTGTGGTTTTTTTATTTGCAGTTTTTCCACTTCCATGAGGATCCTGTGCCCCTAATCCCAGCAAATGTGTAGGGTCTACTGTATATGTAAATGTGTTTAGGCTGTGCATATGATATGTAATTCAAAGGTATAATTTAAATTTTGTTAGTTGTTTACAGAGGCAGTGTGGCACAGTGGTTTGAGTGCTGGATTGCAACTCTGGAGACATGGGTCAAATCCCAGCTTGGCCATGAAACCCACTGGGTGACCTTTGGCAAGTCACATTCTCTAAGTCTCAGGGAAAGGCAATGGCAAACCTCCTCTGAACAAAACTTGCCAAGTAAACCCCCGTAGTGTCACCACAAGTCAAAAACAACTTGAAGGTACACAACAAACATATGTCATATCTATTACTATTACATTCAATAGTATATAGGAATTATGATTAATGAGTAACATTAGTATAAAAAACATTATTAAGGATTCTGTATGGTGTGGTATAAGAGGAGGCTAATGGGTGTGTGTGTGTGTGTGTATGACACCATAAGTTACCATACCAAGTGATGCCAGACATAGTGATAACTGGTGCCAGTGAGATGGAGGAGAGCATTCAAACATTAATAGTAATAATAATATTTATTTATATCCCTCCCCTCTGCAGAGCAATCAATGAAGATGCTGTACATACTCCTCCCCCGGTACATTAATGACGGTCAGATAATCATAGGTCAGTGATGGCAGACGTAGTGATAACGTCAGTGGCCCCTTGACAGTCTTCCCAGAGTCTTTCTAATATTATGTACTTCTGTAGTTTCTAACAGTATTCTAAGTGTGTGAGGCTGAGTCTACAGTGGGTCAGGCTGGGGAAAGCATGTTTTTCTCTCCCTAGGACTAAAGACGAAAGGACAAGAAACATGGTCAAAACCAGTCCTGGAATCAGGATATATGGCAGAAAGATGGGAATCAGAAGGGTCAGTGAAAAGTATGATTTTAGACTCATTCCAGTGCTTTACAATGTGTTTAGTGGTCCCTACCTATGGCACCTGAGTTTGGAAGGTAGTTCTTCTATCTAGCTGGTGATTTTGACTGGGTAAAGCAATAGGATCTTGGCTTTTGAATTAACATCTCTATTAGCATCCCACATTTGCCACAGTTCCAGTCAAAGCTGATTTTAATCTAGTGTCTTTATTCCACCATGGTAGGGAGAATGGAAACAAAAACATCTGTCATGCTGTGATGAAGTATCTTTGGTGATCTCTTCCCACCCTTTTCCTTCTCTTTGCTTCCAACTGTTTACTATGTGCATGAATTTCATTATTCACTGTGCACTGACATAATTGCTAATGTTAAAAACTCTTAATAAGAGCCATCTCTGCTCTCTACTGTGCAGCGTTGTTCTCTCCTACAGGTATTGCTGCTTCCATGCTTGGCTGAAAATGCCACAAGGCTGAAAAGGAGAGGAGAGGAGCGACTCTTTTATACATGTGCACAACTAATGCAGAGAAGCTGGAAGCACATCAGACTGTGTTGTATAATATACCAATTCCTATCAATTTAAGTCTACTAAATACAATAAAAACCTCTTTAAAATATGAAACTATGTGCAGCCAATGGGCCCCATCAAAATGATCTTTTTAGTAGTAGGCTGTTAGCAATTAAAGTTTAGAGATTCTATACTCGAGTCATGGAGTTTAATTAATGGATTCTACCTTTGTGAAAGAAAAAGAAGGCACAGTAGTTAAAAGAGTCATTCTGAAATGACACAAGCAGGGTTATTATCCTGGATTTATTCATGATTCTATGAGAAATGTTTTTCCCACAGTTTTTGGTATTCTTTTCTTTAGAATCCTTTATGCCCACTTTTTGGTATCCTTCTCTTGGCTAAGATCTTCATTTTTCTAATTATATACTATTATATATGCTTTACATGCATGGCTTCAATTATAGCTACTTCATTTTAATTAGTCCTGCTGTGGAACCTTTAGCAAAAATGACTGTGCTGGGGGCTTTACATCAGAGGCATGACTTTCTGTGAGATGGCTATCACACATCTGCACTCTTCCAGCACTGAAATTCATGAAACTGGTTACAAAGCACTGAGATGGAAACCAGTTATTGGTAAATGGCAGAGCTGCTTAACAAAAGGAAGGAAGGAAGGAAGGAAGGAAGGAAGGAAGGAAGGAAGGAAGGAAGGAAGGAAGGAAGGAAGGGGGAGGGAGAGAGAGAGGGAGAAAGAAAGAAAGAAAGAAAGGAAATCAGTCACACACAAGGATTATTGTTATTTTTTTTCACTGATAGTATAAATTCCCCTGGGAAACATACAAATATTTCTGTCCACATCTATGCAGTTTCAGTTCAGGTCCAAACTATACATTATGGGCACTACTGACCTATGATTATCTGACCATCATTAATGTACTGGGGGAGGGGTATGTACAGCATCCTCATCTTAATGTTTGAATGCCCTCCTCCATCTCACTGGCTGCCACTTGTGGAGATCGAATGTCATGAAAACTTGGCCTTCTCTAACCACACAGTCACTGGATAGTTTTGGACAGGGGTAGGCAACCTTTCCCCTTTAAGGGCTGAGGGAACTTCAGCTCCCAGAATCCCAGGAGCTATTGGCCAACATGGGACTATTGGCCAACATGGCTGAGGCTTCTGGGAGCTGAAGTCCTTCGGCCCTTAAAGGGGAAAGGTTGCCTACCCCTGGTTTTGGACTACAAAACTCATCATCCAAATCACTGTGACATGTTGACTGTGATTGATGGGTGCTGTAATTCAATACATCTGGAGGATTCCAATTTGGAGAAGGCTGATCTCCCACTATGTTGTTGCACCCGCTTTCCCACAATACTGATTATTGGCTGGGCCGTATTTGACATTCTTTGACAAACAATTCTGTCATCTATTCAGAATCTACTGTGCTTTTGGCTAAGGCCCTCTTGAAAGATGTTTACACAAACATTGCATATTCTGAAGAAAGAAGCTTCATTGTAGATCCAAGGGGCAATTCTAGCTCCACTGACAACAAACATACAAGATATCTTAATGGAGAAAATAAGGACACAACATTATTGATTACAGCTTCACAAAAGGTTGGCATTGTTATGAGACTAGGTGTCAACCAACCTAACTGTTTATCAATGGGCCCATGCTCAGAACCTATTGGATGACCCCAGGAATGATAGCTGCAGAATTCCACATGGATGGATTCCATTTTGTAGTTTCTCCTGTCACTGAGGGTGCAGAGAAGTGAACACTCTCCCTGCAGGGCATTGGTTCTGCTGTACACACCCTTGCAGTTCCATAAGGGGGCTCTCTCCACTGTTTGTTGGACCTATACAAGATGGGAGGGAGTGCCCTGCTTCCTACCCCCCTTTCATCAACCTACTGCAGCAGCTGCAACCAATCACACAATTTGTAGTGCACCACATATAACCAGAAGTCCACTCCCCAGTCTGACTGCTGTACCCCATCATCTCAATACTACGCCCTAGGCTTTATTGATATATCATAGTGATTGTGGCAAGAGCCAGTCCACGAATAACCTTAGACAACTTGGGTCACACAATGCCCAATTTCTCAGGATGACTCATATTCCTCCAACAGCACCATTCCAGCATGTCTGATCAAATAAGCACAGTACTAGAAGAAAAGAAAAAACACCCCATTACACTGTATCTCTCTTGGCTTTGCCTTGTGCATTTACTAATGTTGTGTTTTTTTCTTAGTTGTATGATAACTTTAAGTCAGGAGGCCCTATGTGGTGGGCCCACTCTGAAAGCTTCAGCAACAATGAGTCCCACAACATTCCTCCCTTGCCAATCCAGTCAATCTCAACATAGTCCAGACCAGGGGTAGGCAACCTTTCCCCTTTAAGGGCTGAGGGACTTCAGCTCCCAGAATCCCAGAAGCTATTGGCCAACATGGGACTATTGGCCAACATGGCTGAGGCTTCTGGGAGCTGAAGTCCCTCAGCCCTTAAAGGGGAAAGGTTGCCTACCCCTGGTCCAGACTGTCCTGTTTTGGTCTTGGGAATCTAGCCAAACCCTTAGTCCAGAGATTCAGCATCTCTAGTACTGAGGGAGAAGGAGAAAGGAAGCTTATCTTACCAAGGGCCTTTGCAGACTACTAGAAATAGTGCAAATTGAATCCACTTTAAGAGTTAGGGTTAGAGAATCATGGGAACTGTATTTTATTGTGGCACCAGAGCTCTCTGACAGAGAAGGCTCAATGTCTCAGAAAAAAAAATTCCCATGATTCCCTAGCACTAACCCTAACCTTAATAGTGGACTCAATTTGCACTATTTCTGGCAGTCTGCAAAGGCCCCAAGTCTTTTGGCAGCAAAAGAAGTGGTCCAGTTTCATTACAAAGTTTCAGTCAGTCAGTGCAGCAAGTTTGAAAAGCAAACCCAAAATAGTAATCCAGATCTGAGCAAAGGTTTCGGGCAACAATTAATCTGTCAAGGTTCAAGGCAACAACAAGGCATTTTCCTGAGGATGGTTGTCAACCATGGTGGACCAAAGGAGGTGCTAGGATATTTATAGCCCATCAAGGTCTCACAGATGCTCCTGCTTAGCAGTTTGCTTCCTACTTAACCATAGAGAACACCATTGTCTCTCTTTTTTCCAGGTGTCTCTCTGCTGAAGTAGGGACTGGTAAGTCTGGCTCAGGTGGCAGGAAACTTTGCTCCTGGGAACTTGGTCCTGGAACTGGCTGCAGGTTTGCCTCCAAAGGCTGTTGCAGTGGTTGCAGTTGTGGCATGTCCCCTGGGCTCTCAATCTCAGACTCAGAGGACATAACTGGCTCATGAAGGCAGTATATGACACAGACACAGGTACTGACTCCAACTATTCCTGGACATATAAACTCCTACTTAGTAGATGATGCTGTGGCCACAGATCCTCACTTTCTAGTAATGTGAAAAACAAGGGATAGATTAGAAACGAATACTTCAGGCTTGGTGAATAGTCTTATATGCCCTAGACTTCCACTTTCCCAGCTACTGAATGCTACCTACTATAGGTGAATACAGAGCAGATACAGATCCATAACTCATAATTTGATACCACCTTTATTTTTAGCATTTATACCTTTGGAGGCAGTGCTGCTAATAGTGGAAGAAATGATAGGACAACTGGGAATAGGCAAACTTTGGATATGAAATTTGATTTCCTATGGAAATCCACCACTGAGGGGACAACCAGAAATAGAACTGGAAGAAACAGAATTCACTGTGATTTTTAC